TGGACTCGCAGGTCCCATGAAACATATTCATTAGGTAGTATTTTCACTTGGTGCGATATATGAGGGTATGGACCTACAGGTCCCTACATACCTAGAGTTAGTGCCCGTGTCAAGAGGTTTCGGGTCGCGTCATGTATCAATGCTTGTTTGTGTGCTCGTGCCAGCGGCACGCCTGTCCTTAGGTGGTAGGTAGAGTAACGGTATAGTCGCCTTTGTGGCAAGTGCAGAGGCGATTGTATCTCGCAGGCTTCTGCGTGATGCCGCCTTCTAAGAGGTCGGGGGAAACGTTGTCCAACTTGTGGTGTAGGAGTCGAAGTTATAGTGAGTTTTCGTCGCAATTCGTGCGGTCTGTAGGGGCGTGTGTGTATTGTGAGGGTTCTGTCTGTCGGGGGTCGGGTTACTGTCGGGGTATGTCTTCGTCTGCGGTCGCTTGGTCCACGTATCTGAGTCTGTGCGCGAAGTCGTCTTTGGAGGTCGTCAGGAGCCAGTGTGACCAGATTTCTAGATATTTGTCAGAGGCGTTAGTGGCGCACATGTTAAGTTCTTCCACTGCCCTAAGCTCTTCCATTTGGGCAAACCAAGTAGTCAGTGGGGGTGTGACTGTCTGCTTCCAGAATTGTGGGAGCACCTGTTTGGCTACATTTAACATTTGTATGGTTAGTGATTTCTTGTATCGTGATCTGGGGGTCTTCGTGTGGTGTAGGAGCATGGCCTCGGGTAGGAAGGGTGGTGGTGCATCAGAAAATGTTTGGAGGAAACCGTGTATGCCTTTCCAGAAGGGTCGGATGGCCTCACAGTCCCACCATAAGTGGAGAGTGGTGCCTATGCCAGTATTGCATCTCCAGCAAAGGTCTGAGTTGTATGGGTTGATAGCGTGGAGTGTGGTCGGGGTACAGTACCAATTTGTAAGGAGCTTAAATGCCGTTTCCTGTGTCTTGCTGAAGACTGAGCAGTGATGCGTTAAGTAGCACATCTTCTCCCAGTCTCCAGCAGTAAACGTTTTACCTAGTGTCTGTTCCCATTTCCCCATGAACTTCGGTAGCTCTGTTAGGGTTTCCCTCTGGAGTGTAGAGTATATGAGTGAGATCCCGTGTGGTTGGGGGTCTGGGTCCATGCATAGTCGTTCGAACGTGGTGGGATCTCTTGTCAGGGCTGTGCCACCTGGGAGTGTGCGTACATAACTTCTTAGTTGTCTATATTTGAGGTGATGTAGTAGGGTGGGAGTGGTTCCTTCTAGAAGGTTAGGGAGTGTTTTGCAGTCAGTCCCGTCGAGTAGATGGTATAGTTTGGGGTCGTCATGGTGTAGTAGATCTCTGAATGCGTTGGGGTCGGAGCCTGGGGGGAAGTCATCGTTGTGGGTCAAAGGGAGGAGGGGGGACGGGTACGGCGCCAATCTGTACCTTTTTGCCGCCCCCCTCCACACCTGCAGTG